AATGTTTCTGTAAGGTTGTGTATTGTGTAAGTGTAGACAGTGACCTTTTCCACTAGCAGGCCTTGTGAAATCTCGAGAGTATAACCTTTATGTTTCAGGGGGAATAACCAAAGGTCACGTGGGTAGCGTATGCACTCATGGAAAACTAGCATTGATTTTCAGTGTATATATATAATGCTAGGTTTCCTCAGTTTGTAACAGTTTTACAGTTACTTTTTTACAACATAGTACTGTTAAATTCGAGGGTGGACGATGACCACCCATTACTTTTGGGTGGACATTTATCATATTCCTATTTTCACTGTTATTTGTCTTGAATAGTAGTTTTGGAAGGTTTTAATTTTGCTATTTTATCTTCTTGTTCGAATAGTTGGATAATCCTATCCAGTACATTAACTGTTTTCTGTAGAAGTCTAACCCTACAGCAAAGTACAGCACAGTACAATTCAGTTTTAACTTTAACAACCATCTGTTTCCAATAAAAGTGCTGTCCCATGTGCATTCACGCGTTTTGGTGTAAATAGTGAATAAAGAGCGCTTAATTGTGTATTATTTTGTGCCTAGTCTCTCGTATTCTCAAACTCATTCAGGCTCAGAGAATTCGGTTTTATTCTGTAATGCATTTTCTGCTGATACCCCCTGTTATTTTGCGTCAAAATACCTGAGATTACCATAAGTGTTTCCTTTATCACAACACTACTCCAGTAATGATAATCTCGTTTTCAAACTGTATCGTTTGCTTCACACCTATCTGCAAATCATCTTCTTTATTGTACTGTCTAGTTAATGTTGAGTCTATTCAACTCCCATAGCTTCGGGCTCTCTGTCACTAGGAGTGATGTATTTCAATTTAGATGGCAAGGAATAGGTGAAAAGATCGTAATTTTTGAAATTCAAGATTTCTCAATAAAAATCTCGCCTCTATTTTAGAGATAACAGCAGAGTAAAACGAGTATGCTTTAGAAATCAATATTGTAATTATTTTTATATCATCACGTTCCATAGCCAAGTGATTTCTTTAATTCGCTTCTATGCCTATTAGAGAAAATACATGGACTACACCAACTACTATCGGCTCAAGGAATCTCAACATAAGATTCTAACAATACTACTAAGTTCGGAATACAACATGTGTATGATGGATCCTTCTTTTTTTGAGACACCTTTTGAAATCGTTCCATGTTGGACCATATAAATACAAAAAAAATAGAGTTAGACCTTTTCCGTAGTCAGTAATTATTCTGTACAAACCACGTCCCAAGGTCAAAATTTTTACTTTGATAAAATAGTCAAGGATTACTTCTTCAACACCATTATACTGCTGAAGTGAACACCCAAATTGCCAAAAGCCTACCCTGCACATGACGTATAGGAAAAAATGAGGGCGTAGGTCTAGGGTAGCTTGAACATTTTTAGCACGTAGGTCCAGGATGGCTAGCACATTCCGAGGAGCAGAAATAACTTGAAGTCCAACTAAATAACTTTCGATACTCATACGTTTAGGCAAGTAAAATGCATTTGAAAAAACATTATTTTCATAATGAACTATTGTCAAATAGGTAATGTAAACTATATCACTGCGATCAAATCCTTTAGATATTACAATTCTGTTAAGATTTTTTTTAAATTGCACGCAATAAAACGTTTCCAAAACTTAAGTTACTTAAAAAAGTTTTTTTTATGTAATTCGCAAATGCTTTTGTCATCTTCACCCCTTTTGTCATACCATTCGGAACATTTCAGTTTCATCAATGTATTTCAACTACTGTGACAACAACATGGATTTCCTTTTAGATATATTTTCTATTTATAAAGCACATTCACTTGTAATATTAAAATTAAATTTGACCTGTGAAGAAGATCGTTAGTAAAGTTTTTAAAGGTAAAACTGATATATTAAAAAGACCAACTGTGGTATATACCGCCTTCCCTTTTGCTTTACTTTCAAACAAGTTTTTAAGGTAAAACTGAGGTATTAAAAAGACCAATTGTGGTATATACCACCTTCCCTCTTGCTCTACTTTCAAACAAGTTTTTAAGGTAAAACTGAGGTATTAAAAAAGACCAGTTGTGTTATGTATCGCCTTTCCTCTTGCTCTGCTTTCAAACAAGTTTTTAAGGTAAAACTGAGGTATTAAAAAAGACCAATTGTGTTATGTATCGCCTTTCCTCTTGCTCTGCTTTCAAACAAGTTTTTAAGGTAAAACTGAGGTATTAAAAAGACCAATTGTGGTATATACCACCTTCCCTCTTGCTTTACTTTCAAACAAGTTTTTAAGGTAAAACTGAGGTATTAAAAAAGACCAATTGTGTTATGTATCGCCTTTCCTCTTGCTCTGCTTTCAAACAAGTTTTTAAGGTAAAACTGAGGTATTAAAAAGACCAATTGTGGTATATACCACCTTCCCTCTTGCTCTGCTTTCAAACAACACATGTCCATGTTCAAAAATGTAATATTTATTATAAAGGGAACATAGGAATACGAAAATTGGGAAAGCTAACTACGGTCGAGGATAAACTCTTTTCGGACTTGTGGTGTTCACCAGCTTCTTGTCTCTTAGAGCCTAACTTGCCACTGTTCGGTTTAAACACCAAGCCCTAAAAAAGGTTAGTTAAGACGCATTTGTTTTTACCACTAAAATTACATTTTCATCACCATGTGACCACTAGTCTGATGATAAAATATAACAAACAGAGGTAGGAAACATCTTAAACTATAGATGTTTTTAGGAGAAATAAAAGTATAGAAAGTATAAGAAAATGAAAGGTTTGTAATTGCAGCTCGTTTAATAAATTGACCGTTTTTCAGGTTGTCTAAGGTCATTTTCTTTACCAAACAATCGTTATAGAAACAATTCTAGAAGTATTTCTTCTACAATACCAAATCCACTCATTTTATATCTTGTTCTGTTTATGGCTTCGGACTCAGCTCGCATCTGGAAGAAATTCAACCTCAAGTGTAGCAACTGACAATTAGCCTGATGGAATAACTTCAGAATATGTCATAAAATGTTTTGAGGTTGACCTTAACCCACAACGCTGTTTCTTTTTTTACTATCGCTTTTCAAGATGCGCTTCTCTTTTATGTTTATCATCTTCATGTAATATTATGTAAAGAAACTTCCGATTACACGGTTAATATGTATCTTTTTCTTGATGGGAAACTCATAGTTTGCATCAACAAAAAGTAACAGCTAATATACTGTTACAAAAAGAAAGTCATGTTTTTTCTTGTGTGGTTTCACTTATGTGCAATTCCTTTTTACATGGTGGCCTTCTTTATGCTTTTATTGTAAAATTACATGAAACAACTACAATTTCATGCTTTTTGTTTGTTGTTAACCATAAAGCAGACAACAATCGGCTATCTTTACTCTGATCATCGCGGGTATCAAAACCTGAGTTTTAGCGTTATAAGCCCTCATACTTACTACTGAAGCACTTGGGGGCCTCACAAAGTAGCAGAATACAGGGTGTCCAAAAAGTATGGAACCATAGACACTTCAATGAATTTTACAGAATGTGTTCCTCATGCTGTCTTTGTAATACGAAACAAGTTTGGATTAACACCAGGATTCACTCGACATTCTCATGTTCTGATGTCGCCATAATCAGTCACGTATTTGAAATTAAGAAAAGTTGAAAATAGCCTATGGTTCCAGACGTTTCGGACAACCTGTATTTGTAGATTTCCAGCTAATTACATTGGATACTAAACAATCAGAACAATGAGTGGGATTCCCAACGCGTGAATTTCTTTGAGTTGGCTAATCAGCTAACATCTTTTGATATTAGGCAATTTAAACCTGAAATTTAAAACGTGTGTAAAAATAAAACAAGGAATTTCTTATTCAGGTTTTTATCAAAATGATCAGAAGTGTGATCATTACCGAGCTTTTAATACCAGATTATTATACAGTGCATTGTACGTCTATTTGAATAAACTTGAAACATAGCCACTGTTACTGTGTATTATGGCGTGTGCCTCTTATCACACACAAGGAAATGTGCACAAGAGTGGCCTAGAATGTCTAGGATTTATGACCAATTATTTAATGAATATAAATTATGTTTACGCTCGAGGTTCACCTTAGCAAGCTCTTCTATTGTTTTGGTCTATAGATATCATAAATCAAGCTCTTTATAATATCTGTATGTCTTACTGACCTTTACTGGCCCACTTGATAGACAATTCTTTAAACGGGTTGTCTCTCACGCTAGTTATATGTAAAGATATAGGAGACGAAAACCCAGGTTTCCATTTCTGTTAATTAAACTCGACTGAGTATGGTATGGCATGTCATTCTGTGAAGTTTTGGAAAGACTTAGAATTGAAGTAAAGTTGCTTGCTTTGTTGTTAAAAACAGAGCTACCCAATGTGCTATCTGTGCTGCGCCCACCGGGGGTATTGAAAGCGTTATAAGTCCTTACACTTAACACTGAGCCACTGGGGAGGGGGAGGCAAATAGTATAGTAGTTGTCCATAAATTGTGTAGCAAAATCATTTATTTTTGTACATAAATGTCTTAGGAAATTTTCTAAACATCTTGTAATTTTAAGCGAAGTTAGTTCTTGGTGAGAATAACCTTGTGAAATAAGTAGGATTACGTTGGGTCTTCGTTTAGTGAAGTCCTATCATGCTTTGGTCACGTAGTCATTGTCCAGTTACACAAACGAAAAGTTGCCATATTTTAGTCTATACCGTCATCTAATTCTAATTATTGATTAGTAACTAATTTTAATTTAATTTATTTTTTTATATCTTAAATAAATGAATAAAAACAAAACGTAACTAATTAATAATTAGACTTAGGTACTTGTACAGGCTACAAAAAACATGACAACATTAATATCCGATCGCCATAACCATACCGGAAGTACTTGACAATAATTTTTTATTACACGGTTGAAACAAATTTTGCTATTGAAGAGTTTTAAACGAAGGACGAAAAAAAAAAAAAACACATAAAAATGTACAACCACATAAAACAAATATGGTGTCGTTTTTAATATTTATTTATGTCTACAAGCATATATATCACAAATTACATGTCCTCTGGAGGGGTGCTTAACTTTACTCTTCACTCGACAAGACAAAAGGAACATTTTTATTTTCCTAAAGTTTCTAGATAAACATATATGGCAAAGCCAAGGCTTAGTTACACACAAAAAACAACAATAATATCTGATAACATGATATGCCTTCACTGGCACTATATACTTGCCCATTCTACAAAAATACTGATTGTGGTCACCTTACGACCCTCTGGGTTACACAATATAGTGTCTTCTCAAACTTCTGTTAAACACTTCGTTTTTCTTTCCTAAAGTTTTTAACGGTCTTTGAGAAGTTACAAGCAACGTTAAAAACAATAAGAAATTCAATTAAAAAAAAACAACCTTTATTTCATATCATTCGTGAAGTGTGATTATGTTACTGATTTTTACCAAGTAACGCTCAGATAGTAAGTGACGTTAACAATACGACGATGACGACTAAAGATTCCTGGTCAGTAAATTAGACGCGAGAAAAATGAATAAATTAACAGGACCAAGATATCTATCCTCTTGAAACTTTTCACACGTTACTTTAAACCAATTGTTTATTAAATAATTTAAAAACTTTCATTTTTACTTCAAGCAAATTATATTTGAAAATCAGAATCACCAATTGCTAATAACTTTCATATCTCAAGGTCTTCAAAGAAAGATATTCGTCGGGAAATGAAAGAAATAAAAACAAAACAAACAAGCCGTACTTCATGTTGATCAGCACAATCAACCAGATGGCGCTGTTGTGATTGATGTTTGGCAATCCTGTAACCCGCAGAATCGAAGCCAAATAGTAAGACCACTACTGTACAATCTTAATTACATGCGGTAGTTCAAAAGTCTTAGGTCCCAGGTAAAACTTGCGTCTTTGTCTGAGCTTGTTTCCAAATTTCAAAGTTCACATTATTCTGTAGCGCTGCGAGTTGTTCCTCGCCAAGTTTAATCTTCTCACTTATCTTCCGAGCGTCCATTAGAAGCTTGGATTTCATTTTCACGAAATGATCGTAATCAGCGTATTCCTCACTAGATAAATAGCGATGAAGAAATGTCGACACCTGGTGGCTGCGTTTGTCAATACTTTCTTTTAGCCGTCGAGCTTCTTCGTGTTGTCCAACCAGTTTGTCGTACTTTTCTTGAAGAATTCTCTATGAAAAAAAAACAAAAACGAAACAATGATACAGCCCAAGTTTCAAATATCAGACTGTTTTAAGTAAACAGAATTATCTGGTAAAAAATAAAATCAAACAGGTGTTCTCGACTGTTATGAAATAATGTAAACTTCACGGCGAATATCTTATGAAATCACATGCATTACTTGTTTATTCTACTTCGAGTTCCGACATTCATGAACAATACTAGTATAAAGGATGTAACGTGATATCGATTTTAAAAATTCTCTGAAAGACACAGCAAGTAGCACACAGTTGAGATACACTAGTTATGTGGCCAACCTGACTGACTAGACGACACTTCGTGTCAACTGATTTAAGTAGATTGTTTTAGTGTTGAGTGTAATGATACTCTTTAACATATTGGAAAGTTATTTCGAATGTGGACTGATCGTTTGAGAGGCAGAGCTATAGAACATATGTATTACAGATTGTAAATGTATTGTTAGTTATACCACTTGGATCAAACGATATTATGGTTCTGTAGTGGCCGATAATATAGAACAAAAAACCAACAGTGAGGTTTTACTAAATTTTTATAAAAAAATACAAAAATATTATCACAGTATATCAATAACCTTGCTGACCTTTTCTTCCTCTCCAGCTTCTATAGATAAAGAAAAAAGGGCGTTCTGAGCTCGTGCAAGCCTTCCTGACAATGACAGCAACAAATTGATTATTTTCTCAAGTTCTTCAATGTGTAGTCGATATTTTTCAAATTCGTTCGGTTTAACCAACTGTTCTACTCGTGACGTCACTTCTTTTCCAAGAACCTCGTTCTGGACCATTTCTTCCCGAAGGGCAGTGTGCTCTAATCGAAGGCATTCCAGTTTCCGGTCTATACTAGCTATTAATTCTGCCTGAAAACATGTCCAAACTTCAAGTATAAGTTTTTCTACTAATATAAAGAAGATTTAAATATATACATATATATGAATAAAAATAAACAATTATAATTTTCAACTACTGTATGAAAATGTTTATACAAAATACAGTGGTACCCAACAGTTTTTCGTGTTTATTATGACGAAAAAATTTTTATTTTAAAACGTCCAATTGTTGTTTTGAACCTTTCGCTATGTATTTTAATATCCTAATGATCCACAATTAAATTAGTTTGTTTGTTTGAAGTTAAGCACAAAGCTACACAATGGGCTATCTGTGCTCTGCCCACCACGGGTATCGAAACCCGGATTCTAGCGTTGTAAGTCCGAAGACATACCGCTGCGCCACTGGGGGGGCCCACAATTAAATAAGAAAAGCAATGTCTTGTAGCAGCGTTCATATGTTTTTTTTTAATGTTTGTTTTAATAAGCTCTTAAATACATTGGTTTAATCTGTGGTATAAATATTTGTTACTTAATGTCTCGTTCTTAATAATTTTGTGTTAAAAGTTTGTTTGGTGGCAGTAATTGTTTATGTAATTGTGTATAGAAATGGACGACCTCAGGGTTTTTCTAAAGTACAAGAATAACGTTAGACTTATTGACCATGTTACAATACATCTCAGAAACTTGATTAGGTTCTGTATAAAAGTTCGTATATCGAAGATGCTACTAGTGTCCTTAGAAATCAGGAAAGTCTCAGCAAATCGATATAGATTTTGCAAAGAGTTAAGAGAGTTAGTGTAAGTCAGAATTTAAAGCAATTAACGAGTTAGATTAAAGCTTTAGCGTAAACTTAAATCAATGAGGACATAATTTTATCCATGTGTGATTTAAGTTATGTAGTTGTGTCAAAGTGAACACAATTGGAATCGTGATTAAACAAATCCTCAAAGAAGTGAAGTTTGGCAAATTATCTTTTGGAATTAACAGTCGGCTGCTACAATTTAATTATTTTATTTCTATAAGGATTCACCAAGTTACAAACAACAAATAAATTGATGGGCCATCTATTAATACGGAGGAATCGAGTTAAAAGTACTTGATGTAAGACACGATTATTTCCACAATCAAATAATGAACACTAACTTCCTTCATATCATGAAGCATAGTAATTATTTATTTGCACTAACAACATACTTTCCCTTAAAACTGAATTACATATTTTTTCCCCTTAAAACTGAATTACATATTTTTGGTAGTTTGAGGCATAAGTTAACAGCATTTCCTACATAGTTTGAAGATTTATATTTTATGAAATTTGCTTAATATAATTTTTGTTAAACCCAGAAAGAACTACGACAGCAACAAAAGAGGGGCAAGCTTTCCCTTTTTTTTCTATAACCATAAAAATCGAAAAAAATTGTTTAACTTTTATTGATTAGTGGTGTTGCCTAATGTAACCAATTAATGAACCGTGGATGTTTGAAACATTAATTACTCATATAACACACACACACACACATATATATATATATATAAAACACAAAGGCTTAATTAATCACCAATCATGATCTTTAGCCATTCTTCATATCTTCTGTCCATATAACTAATGTTAAATTCGCTTTTTAAAATGTTCTCTAAACACCAATCATTGACTAAAACTTGTATGACATGGTTAGAATTTACTCACATAATATGATTAGAATTTGACACGAGGAAGATTCTAAATACCTTTTTGATGCTTAATTCGTTATCCGAAGACCAGTCATCAAGGCCTGTCTCTTGAATGTATCCAATCAAGAGTTTAGCTTTGGATTCAGATGTGGTAAAAGAGGCACTGTTAAGGGATAACTCATTTCCTTCTCTGGATTAATAAAATAATTAAATACATATATTTTATTGTTGTTCTATAAACAAGTACATATCAAAATTTCGGAATAATACAATTTCAAAGTTAGGCCTATAGCATTTATACTTATTCCTCAGTAAAAAAGAAACCATATTCGTGTTAGGTCCATATATCATAAATGGAATACCTCTAGAACATAGAAGATTAATTTATTTTTATTCATATATATAAATTACTCAAAAGTTTTTGTACAGTAACATTGAGAAAATCGTTCGAGTTTCACTTACATGCTTAACCTTATGCTGCACTAATCTTGTCTTTAGGAAATATCACACACGATTATAGGCTTGGTCAACAAAACGTTTATTGTCACACCTTATTGACTAGGTAGATAATTCATTGAGAAGCTTTCAATGACATTCTGGTGGAATGATTAACAGATATTATAACCTGTGATTTCCCTCTTTTTAATTAATTTATTTTTACGTTTTTTAAGCACAAAGTTGCACAATGCACTATTTGTGCTTTGACCAAAACGAGTATCAAATTCCGATCTTTATAGTTGTAAGTTCAGAAACTTACCACTGAGGCACTGGGAGGCTTTTTATTAATGGGATTTGGCTAATGACGCTGTGACTTGGAAATTATAGTACAGCTTGGAGTTTCAAGCGTAACTCCAAACAAAGCTAAGAGTGAAGTTGTCAAGAATCACGTTGGTGGCCACTTAGGTTAACAGAGCAATGTAGTAAAGAGCGTTATTTGTATTCAACGTTTCTTATTCCACCGATTCACGTACCAATTTTCCCCTGGTACATGAAATGAATTTACTTATTAATTATTTGATATGCAGTGTCTTATTTCTTAGTTGAGGATTAATTAATCCGACCTTGCTTAATAAATTTAATCGAATTTCCTGTTATTATTGTTTGATAACTTATCGGTTGCAATCTTTACCAGGGAATAATTGATCAAGGTTGGTACTGATAAGAATACTGATGAAATTATGTAAAATACTTCATTTGGACAAATTGATTAGGATTGTATGGAATTAAACAGTGAGCGAGAAAGAATTCTTGAAATGATTTTCTATACCAAATAGTCAGAGTGCCAACCAAAGGGGATGCCATTTTAGATTTATTATTAGCTTGTAATAAGGATATGTTACAAAATTTGAAGTCACGTTAGAGTTATCACTGCATAAAATTAAGTTTGATGTTTTACTACATGTTGGGATAAAATATAAATGAAATACTAGTTCCTGATATCTAGAAAGACAATTTTGAAGCAGTGAGACAAGGTTTATTATTAGTGAATTAGGATAATATATTAAAAGGCGATGTGAGACAGATTTGAGAGTTAAAAAAATTATTTTAATTCAAGCAAGGTATGTTCTCAAAAAAAGAGGAAAATGATAACAGGGAAGATCAGAGCTAACTTGTTTACTAAAATCAAGACAGAAAATATCAGGAATAAACACCCCCTGTTTAAGAAGTTTAAATTGACAGATAGGAAAGAAATGAACATAATTATTAGAAAGATATGTATTTGGTTAAAATACAAATTAGGAAATAAAAAGGGACTTATGAGAAACAGCTGAACGATAATGTTACAATTAACAGCAACTTTTTTGTTGTTGTTAAAGGTGAATAAATTATTAAAATGGGGATTGGATACTGAAAGGATGCTGATTAGAAGGTTTTTGTTGAATGTTATGAGATGGTTAAGCTTTTAAATGTTTTTCTGCACTTCTGTTTTATAGGAGAAGATATTAGCAATATTCCTGACACTCAGCATTCTATGGAAAATATTGAAATTGACACTAACGATGTAGACATTAGTCCCTCAGTGGTAGTGGGAGGATTGAAAGATATAGCTAAAGCATCAGGACCAAACAAGGTTTTCTCCAGGGTTTTAAAGGAGGTCATGTATCAAGTATGCTGGCCTCACTCTTCATTTTTGGTAGTTCAATAGTGGGCAGGTGTCAGAAGATTGGAGAGTTGCTAATGTTACTCTTATTTTTAAAGAGGAGTGATAAGAACTGCTCTCGAAATTACAGACCAGTTAATCTTAATTCTGTAATGGTAAACATTCGAGAGAATCTGATAAAAGGAGATTGTTCAGTGAAATACGATATCCTAAAATAAATCCAACATGGATTCACTTAAGATTAATTTGTTTTTATTAACCTGTTGACCTTTTTCGAGGACGTTATTTGTTATCTGGACGTTGAAAAGGGTGTATTCTTAGTGTAATTAGATGTTCAAATAGTTTTAGATGTGGCGCCACACAGAAGATTAGGTGAGAACATCGCACTGGTAGGGATTGGGGGGAGACAAATTAACTGTGGTGGTTGCACGAGGAAAAGTAAAACGTCGTTATTAATGAGCACTCTTGTTACTGTGGAGTACCTAATTATATTTGAAGTGGGTTACTTGATATTATTGAGATTACAATATTAAATATATATACGATAATTTGAACAATTGTAAAACATGAGATTCATTGGAATCTCAACAATAGAGGAAGCATTTGTTTTCACAGAAACCTTTCGTATAATGCTCGATATTTAGTTTGAAGTCTACTAGCATATGACTCCAAATTTGGTCACTATCTTCTTTTAATACATTTTTTGTTTGCTTATCTCTTTTATATAAAGCAGAGTTGTTCGTCTGTGTTTGTTTAGTGTCATCACAATTTGGTAGGAAAAGTGTGAGTTCTAGTTTAAAATGGACAAGCAATCGTACAAACGCTTCGAGTTTGGAAGCCATTTTAATCTTACCTCTTTCATGCCGCGAATGTGACCTTTAATGTCACGCGTATCATGGGTATCTTTGCACCAGACGAACGGATCATGTATTACGGCTCAAAATGGTGGAAAGGGGTGGCTCACGCCTCAATTTATAGCATCACTTTTTAAGCTAGAGACTGCCGAGTGACTTTGCTAGTAAACTACATATAAAGGTATTTCCACTACATATTACGCATCACTCGGTGTACACATGGGTTATTAGGATTACGCCTTTATCTGCTTAAACATGACCATTTTAGATCAAACTCTACGGCTTCAAATAATACAAGAGTAGGTCTTTAGCTTTAAAATAAACAAAGGTTGTGCTAACTTACAACAGTTAAGTAGGAAGGAAACGAGTGATGGAGATGATTGAAATATATTTTGGGCTAAATGGAAAATCATTAGGCATCTAATTTTAATGATTAGGCACTACCATAACAAACGTCATATAACTTTTTTGACAATTACATGAAATGGGTTTTAGGCTTATGCTTTATCAACTATAACGCTTATTGCGCACAATACCCATAAATACTTTTTTTTCGTTTGATACAAACAAACGTAAAATATTGTTTCCCCGTAATTTTCAAGCAGCTGAAGCCTAAAAACAATATAGAAATGTGTTACAAATAATCCAAATAGCCTATACACCCAGTTAAGGCTATGTGATTCAAATAAACACATTACCTGCCCGACGTATGTGATATACAGGAAGAGGAAGTCTGATTGACCATTTCATCTTGAATTGAGGACGTTTTCCTTGTCGGCTGTCCACCTCTCTCCAGCTCTAGATTAAAAAGTCCTTCCATGTAATCAGATATGGTCTTGTGATTTGGTGCTGGAACTTCAAAAAAAAAAAAAGGATATAAACTAAGTGCACATCAATAACGTAAGTTGTTTCTTTTTTTATAAAAAATAAAATAAGCTTTTAGGCTGTAACGAGAGACGTAACTACTAAAACGTCCACCTACCCACTTTGTGGATTTACTTTGAAACCAGATCCAGGGGATGTATACCTGAATGAATATCTAAGTTACTGTAACTTGAATCTTAATGCCCCTCTTTTGCTAGAAAGATAATATTCCATTCTTCAAAACAATTGTTAACATTTAAGATTATGTTGATTTGACTTTCAAGAATTTCGCTGATACCTTTTTGACCAAGTACGAGACATTCGTTTTACAATAAGGATTGTAATCAACAAGTACTCACTCTACATATAATCATCTTTAAAAGTTCACATAAAAACAACCGAAACTTGTAGACTTTATTTCAGTGCATTTGAATTTCGAAATAAAAAGTCGTCATTACTGTCTTTTCTACATTTATTTCTCCGTGATGAATTTATATTTCACTAGCGTAATAAAAGTTTAAAAAATTAGTATTACAACAAAAGTAAGAATCACAATAGCGATGTTCATTTTATATATTTAAAAAATGTTTTGCTGAAGATTTGATATTAAATAAATCAACTTAACAGAGAAGAGTATTATGTAATTTAAAACATGCTCACAAGAAAGCATTTCATTATTGAACTTTGGTAAAAAAAATGTCAACGTCAAACAACTACAATAAGATATTCAATACGAATTTTAGATAAATAATACAGAAATTGTATTACAACAATACTTTTTTAAAATAATGTATATAATATAGTCCACAATTAAAAACGAAACTAAAACTTAGTTTCAAAGAAGTGAGCTATGGCATGGCTTGTAACCAAAATCACTCATCTTACTGTGCAGCATTGTTTATGGAATTTTATATATTATAAATTGACGCTTTCATGCAGGGTAAAAAGAAAATCGTGTTTTAAAGAAGTTTTAACTTTTCTTTTCAAACTTCAATGAGACAGTCCCCCAGTGGCACAGCGGTATGTCTGCGGACTTACAACGCTAGAAACCAGGTTTCGATACATGTGGTGGGCAGAGCACAGATAGCCCTTTGTGTAGCTTTGTGCTTACTCGAAACAAATAAAAATAAATCAATGAGACAAATAACTTGGTAAAACTTAAAACAGGGTACAATAAGGAAATCATAAAATTGTGCCGAGTTTTTCATATTAATGTTAAGAAATCCTAAAAATAAAATGTTAATGGAACATAATGTTTCGTTGAGTGCTCATATTTCTTTAAGATTTTGTTCATTTAATAGTTTAAAGTATTTTTCAGCATTTTTGTTTACTAATGTTAATTAATTTTGAGAAACTTTATTAGTTTCTTCGGTTATTGTCTTATAAATGCTATTATTCATACAACCTCTATACGTCCTGAGGAATGAGTGTTGTTTAGATAGAGAAAACTAAGAGTGTGGCTGTATGATTACCCCATTTCTAATCCTCGGTTCTACTTAAATTTGCACATAAACTAAGCAATTACAGGTATTTAACTTACGTGAGATTCTAGTAATAACAGGATATTTTTTTTCGCATAGATCTTATAACGTGGCGCTTTGTATCAACATTTAGGTGTGCTTTATTGTTTGATTATTGACACACTTCTACGTTAGAATTTGTAAGCATTGCATAGCGTCACAATGAATACAATATACATCGTATGTTGAAAATATATCTAAAATTGTTTACTTCAAGATATGCTTTCTTTCATTTCGTTTATTTTGCTTTGTTTATTTATGAACATCACGTCTTTAAAAACATAAAAAATAATTGAACTAAAGTTAAAAGAGGAACGATAAACTTCGCGAAAGATAATGCAGTATAGAATTTATTATTTAGAGAAAAATACCCCAATAAAGTATATGTGATGGTTTCTAAATTAACTGGTATATAGAAAGTACTACAACCAGGACATTCAAGGGGGTATTTGTATTATGTATTTATGGCAAAACTCCTAAGGTTATTTGCCGCTGAACTTAATTTTGATCTACTGACTAAACGGAAGGTAGCCAGTCAGCAGCACCCTTAACACCAACCATCCATGTTAAGGGATTGAGTGTCAGTATTATAACACACTCATAGCTCAAGGTTCGAAGAAAACATTTTGAATCATATGTATTCGGACTCAGTTTGCCAGCTCCGACATCTATTCAAGAGGTATTTGTGTTGCAAGAATATAAAAGAAAAAAAAACTATCACAAGACCAATACTTTTTTGAAATTCATTTATGCTAACTTAATTAAAACTCTTTTTCATATTTAAAAAAATCAATAGCGTTACTTAATTACAAACCTTTCATTAGGAAGATGAATGAACAAAGAAATAGTACCTTACTGAGAACAAAAGAAGATGGTGGAATATACTTGTGACACAGAAGCGAAAGCAAAACCTAGAACAATGCTTTTCTTTTTGCTAACAAAAGCATTAACATAAAAAGAAATTTAATACGTAATGTACTATTGTTACCAGAGAAAGCTATAATTTGTCTATGGGCATGCTCCCTCTTTGAATTTCGTAATGATGCAAACTTTCGAAAGATATGCTTACGAACTGAATTTTACTTGTTACTTTATGCTGTTAGATGCAACCTTTATTCGTTATGTATGTTGTTTGACTAACGAACTGTTCTGCATGTAATAAACTTTATAAATATCTCTCCAAATATCTGCTTTTCAAAGGGTTTCTTTATGTTCGCGCATGGGAAGACACAAACATGACTCTTCTACTTCGCTCTGCTCCTTGTGACTTAAATGTTTACATATTACTGCAAATTAATGTTAATGGTCATTCTCGTATTTACTATGAGTCTCGGTTATCCATTATAAGCATACAAGAGAGGGATGAGCTATTTGTGATAACGTAAAGAACAATAACAAAGAATTAACTTTCTATTCATAAATCAATGTTTACTAATTGCACTTTATTGTAACTTATTAACGAAATACTTAATAAAGGATTAAGTTTGTCATCTTTCTAGTTGTGTAATTTACATTTATTACTTGCAACATTCTACATGTACATAAATATACTCTAGTTTCCTGAGAAACTTTAGTATATATCTTAGGTTATTTATCTTACAACCAAACAGAGAAGCTATATGTTCCTTACCTAACTAACATTATAATGTTATCAGCTGTTGGCAATAATATACTTTGACATAAGCATACATCAACATATGCTGACAATTTAGAAAACAACAACAACAACAACAACAAAAAAACTGCGAATGTTTCTTCGCTATACATTTGTGTTTATAAACATACACTAAGGTAAATTTACAAAATAATTATAATCCTTTTAGTTATTTAATGAATTTTACCCAGACAGGATGGAAATCCTCACAGGAAAGGAATGTTGTTAATACTTGAAATATCATTAAATCTCATATGACTGCCTAGGTATCTCCAGTGGATTTCACTCGTTATTAACTCAAGGGCAAACCAGTACTACTTCTTGTCTGCTCTTATTACCTGGGTGTCAGAATAACGTGCTGTGAGTTTTAATAAATCTCGATAAAGTGAGTACGCCATTTTGTGTTTGCGAGGAAAAAATATTTAATTACAGTGTTCTGTTGTTGCAAACAGTGACATCAGCATAATATTTTATAGATTTTAACATGAAATTCGCTCATTATAGTTCGGTTTAATCAATTTTAACTGTAATTGTCCGCATCAACGAGTTATGTGTTGTAAGGTTCTTATATTAAAAGCGTTCAACGTGTTATGTGTTGCTAGTTCTTATATTGAAAGCATTCAACGTGTTATGTGTTGTTAGTTCTTATATTGAAAGCGTTCAACGTGTTATGTGTTGTTAGTTCTTATATTGAAAACGTTCAACGTGTTATGTGTTGTTAGTTCTTATATTGAAAACGTTCAACGTGTTATGTGTTGTTAGTTCTTATACTGAAAGCGTTCAACGTGTTATGTGTTGTTAGTTCTTATGTTGAAAGCGTTCAACGTGTTAAGTGTTGTTAGTTCTTATATTGAAAGCGTTTAACGTGTTATATGTTGTTAGTTCTTATGTTGAAAGCGTTCAACGTGTTATGTGCTGTTAGTTCTTATGTTGAAAGCGTTAAAAATGTTATGTGTTGTTAGTTCTTATGTTGAAAGTCCAATCACTAAAACTGCCATTTAATATATCCTTTCAATTTTCGTCATGTTTTCTTTGTGTTATTGTCAATAATGTTTATTAAATTACAAGTTTATGTGCTATTAAGCACACAGCTGCACAATGGGCTATCTATGCTGTTCGATAGCAGGAATTGAACTCCGAATTTTAGCCTCATAAGTGCACAAGACTGCTTATAATTTTTCACTAAAATGTCTATTATAACTAGGAATGCACGGGTACCCGGCCAGAAGTTAGGTATCTAAGCCCTAATCTTTGTGGCAACTAACACGGTACTGAAAGTTACAGTCAATAATTGGTTTAGTTAAAAAACAAAACAACGTGTTTCGAGCAACAAAGACTGACTGCCAGCTGAAAGTCGAGAATTCAGACAACAATAGGGGTAAATAACAGGCATGGCTCGAGAAGTGGATTCTTGGGGAAGGTGGGTTTTTGAGAACAATAGGGGTTAGGGTTTGAGAAGTTGATGCTAGTTATTGAAAGTTGAAAGTAAAACCTGAATGTGCTCTTGGTGATTATCCGGTTAAATGTAATAAACGTCAATTTTGTTTTTGTTTCTATTTTAGGGAGAGGGCGAAGGGAGAAACTCGGTCCCGGTTTACAACCGGCTCAGGTATTCGGCCAAATTTTACTACCCGTGCATCCCTAATTATAACTATTTTTTGAATGTTTGTGTGAAGACACACGAAGAGTATTTGTTTATATCTGTCCCTAATTTCGAACTGATATATTAGAGAGAAGGCAGCTAGTGAACAATACTCACCACCATTTCGTGAGCTACTCTTTAGTAACCTAATAGTGAGATTTAAGATTAGATACCAGCATTGAAATGATTAACAATTAGTCACGGTAACAAGTCTTTGACGTTTTCGCGAAAATAAAAACAAAAACGTGCCGAAGAAGTGTCCTTATTTCGACAATGCTTTGCAGTGCGACAACAACATGCTCTATTAAAAATGTACAGTCTAGATTTATTTCTAGTATATATACGTGTTCCTCATTTGGCATATACCACAACGAGAAGATACATCTTGGCTTTTAACTTGAGTTTAGTAAATCACATGCACAAAAGCACAGAAGTTGTGAAAACCACAATTTGTTTTTAAATAAAAACTTATATTTATCTTATAAGCGATAACGATTTAGTAATCTTTTTTTTTCAAAGTTTTATTTCATATTCGAAGCCGACAACTCGACAATACAATTAAAAAAAATTATGTTATTTATATTTTCTTGCTGGTTTACTTTTTTACTAAATCTGCTTAATCATATCAGAAAGACGAATTAAAAAAACAACAACAACAAATAAAAATAGGGAAGAAGAAAAGTAATATAATATCATTTCTTAAATACCATCGAGTTTTATAAAACAAAAACTTTTTTATATGATCTGTAGCGAGGGCGGTGTCTATGATAGTCTATTTGTTGCTGTACATAGAGTTTTAAATTTATCAAGTAACTCAAGGACACCTTGGAATCACTGACTTTAATTTTTCGGCATGTACGAACATTTAAGCAAACAAAAATCAACAACTTTATGTAAAACATTTACAAAATATATAATGATTTGTACAATTTGATATTGAGTCATAGACATAGAATAAGAAAGGCTTAATCAATTCTTCACATACACAGCTTCTGCAATAAGACACTTCAGGTTTGAAGTCATATATATCAAAAATATTCATTCAAAGCTCAGCAAACCACCACGAGTTACACAATCACTAACACACATTCATCATGTTATGACGAATATAATGATTTACAACAAACTTACGTTCCTCTGATTAAATGTAATTATTAATCCCCCTTTTTAAAAGGATCGACCTAAAATATAAGTTTTAAAAGTATCAATAAAATATGAGCTGCAGAAATGATGAGTACAGTGTAAGCTATGCTTAACATAATTAGGCAACTTCTGTTTACTCCATTCTTTTTTTTTTACTGACTTAATAACATGAAGCTAAATTAAACACGAACATTTTTCTTTTACTTGAAATAGGACTTGCGTGACAAAGTCAACGTTATATTAAATGTTTTACGCGATAAAAACGTAAACACGTGGTAAACTATAAAATGAGACATTTTTTTTATCTTAACATGTTTTATTAAACTAAATACTTGCAAGAATTTGTAATGGATACGATTCCTTCATATTTTAAAAATCTTCATCAAAATATTATACACAGTATAATTCTTATATGCAACGGTTTTCCAATTTGAAATGACGCCCATAACGCTTTACATGGCCTGATAATACGAGTGATATTTCAATCAAAATTTTTTATTGCTTCCTTATTGTTAGTGTATTCAGATTATTGGCAAAATATGATGATGTAACTTAAGTGATCAAGTAAAAAAAAAGAAGAGAAAAAGGCTTACCGAGTAAGTTTTTAAGCATGATGTCATTACAGTGGTTGACAAAATCCTTTGACAACCTTTCACATTCTATTTCTTCTCTCGTTTTATATTTACGTCCAAGTCTTGGTGTGTCTGTGGTCTGGGTTGCACTACTTATTCTTTTTACTATCAACTCCCTGTTGCTTTCATTGTTTATCTGTTGACCCTGATGATCATTTGTATTATTTTGCTGCACTAAAGTTGACCGGTGTGAAGCTTCTTGAGAATATCTTTCATCAACCATTGTTGTTTCTTTTTGTTCAGGGTAATGCAAGGTAGGTACTCCAGCATGCTGACCGTTTAGAATAGAATTATGACTCTCTATTAATTTTTCTTGGAGAAGTTTAGTACAATGAATGTTTACTTCTGGTTCATATTGAAAAGGGACTTCACGATTAGTTACCAAAGAGTCGCTGTTCTGAATATCTGTTTGGTTTAATGAGTGGGATAATATTAACTTCTTTAATGGAGAAGAACAACCATGACTAGCACTTTGACATTGAGAATCGTGACCGACTGAGGAATTTTCGTTGATAGAAACTGTGGTCCTTGGTTGGTTATCTCCAGGAATGTTTTCAGGCTGAAAGGATGGATCTGGTGTCACGGGAAACTTATGGTCAGAGCTTGAACTTGGTGATCCTCGATCAACGAGACATCGGCTATCTGACCAAGTTCGTCCCCGAATGGAGTTCGAGTGAAATATAAGAGTAGTGCCTTGCTTTCTAATATTGTGGAGCTTTTCCCATGAAGCCGGAGAGACTCGAATTTGGCCATCCTGTGAGGCTTTGGAGACTGGATACGACAGGTCAAGAGACCCAGACTTTGAAGATGATCTCCAGTAGTTACCATCAAACCCCTGTCTTCCTAGCTTCCGCTCACTCCTGTATGACATGTACGAGTTTTTTGGATAAACACTAAAACAAAGACAAAAAATGATTATAATTAGTTTCAAGCATAAGAAACACCAATGAATGGAAGCTTTAAAAAGCTGTTTGTGATAATATGTATACAGCAACTCAAATTCATTAATATATGTAATCTATGCTTTAACGATCTTTATCATGGTAGTCTGCTGAATATTTGCTACAACATGTACTTATTAAAAATCTACGAAAGAAATAGAACGCAAGTGACTTCTTGACGTTAGTTAAAACAATAAGACTTGAGTGGATACAAATTGCATGAGAAAAACCGCCATGCAACGCTAGTTTGAAGAAACGAGTTTCCAGCTGGTTTATACTAACAGGCTGTAAGTCGCCATTTCCACTCTTATTTCTTTCTGCTTGGTTGCTCATTCCTCTCAACGTAGGCGTCTTCAAGTTTCTTGGTTGCTAGCTCTAATCACTGGTTTATTACAGTCTATAAACTACTCGCAGCTACTCAGGAAATACGAAGTTACAGAAAACACTTATCTCAGGAAGAATATTTAAAAACGTCACAGTTGCAGGAACTATTCAACAATGAGCTTCAGCCAGCCAATTGACCCACAATAGGCTGTAATGCTTACATCACACCTGCCTCTACCTGGTAGTAGACAGACTGACTCAGCTAGGGTACTCACATAAGCAGAGCCTGCGTGGTAAGCAAGTCGTACATGTACTACACGCGTTGCTGTAGGAGGGAAAAGACGTTAGGGAGAACATGCTATGGGGTCATCAGAGATCTAACCTATCTCCACGTCACAATGGGCAGGGGGGGGGCACCTTCAACTGTGGAGTCTCTTAGGTAAGCGGTACAGGTCTGTGGGAGAGCACCTGGCCTGAAAACACAAGATTAGTTTGTACATACACTTGTTGCAAACATTAAGTTTTCAATGAGTTCACTGAGTCGTAATCTACACTAGTGAACAAACGAGAAAAATATCCTCTAGGCTTTGTTGATTTGTTGGGATTTGGAAGTTTATCTTAGCTAATGTATTTAAAGGTCTGATTAGTTAGTGGTGTTTATAGCATATATATATATGGAATAGTTATATATATATGTATATACGTATATTTAATAATATGATACTGCTTGAAACTACATATTATAAACTGGTATTAAATATTTTCTATTAATATTAATTCTTGTTCGAGGCTATGTTAAAGTGTTGACTTTATAAAAGAATGGAGCCGCATTGATTTTTCTGCTTTATATAATATTAATCATAAACTGTACTGCAGACGCCATGCAGTAGAATGGACAATTTAAGAAGAATTACGTCCATATGTGAATGAATGTAGTATTATTTAAGATTAATATGACTATAACGTGTATAAGTAAAAGCTCGAGGTTGTGATATGAATCATCATTATTTGTTAACTGAAGGTGTGCGAATAGGTAGGAGTTTAACGTTTAGCCCACATAACAGCAAACTGGAGTTGGCTGCTATAAAAACTGTTGAATAAAAATTAGTGATTCGACAATTTTAATATACTTAGTAGTTACCTAATACATCCTAAAAACTACTGTTAGTTATATTAAATGTCAGGTTGTGAGGCATTACAAATATTGCGATGACATTAAACAGACTGGATGAAATCAGCGTAAGATAACACAAAATCCAATGAAATAAGTTGTGAAAACCACTAACTTATCTCCACCTAGAAAATCAGCTAAGACGTTAAATTTTCGGTTTAAATTCAGCGTGATTTTAAGAAATGCCGGCTAGCAATTAACGAATAAATAATCATTAACGTGTTTACTGTTAAGCGCAGAGCTACGCAAGGAGCTATCTGTACTTTGCTTACAGCAGAGACCAGATTCCTGAGGTAAGTGTTATAAACCCTCAAGCTTACGCTGAGCTTCAGGAGGTTATTGATTTTGTTATTTCAGTATGCTGATCCACGTGGATACACTGCGCCCCTTAATATCCTTTCTACACAGTGCGTTCAGAATAAAGTGGTACAATTAATGAGAAAGAATACCTTCACATACCTCTGAAATTGATTTAATTGGTTGAAGTCGTTCAGTTCAGAAAACTTCAGAGAGGTTTGCGGAAGATGAAAATATACTGATAAATTTTAAGTATCAAACCGATGGTCACTGTAATGGGTACAAAAATCTGACCACAATCGAAACAAATTTCTAACGAGTCTTCAAGGTTTAAGCATGTTCTTAAGTATCAGGCAGTTAATTATCTGTTTTTTTTATAAGTGGTTAAAGTACTCCAAGTCTGGAGTGATACAGTTTGCTTTGGTTACCTGTAAAAACAAGAAGTCGATTTTCTGCTAATTTCTACCTTATATGCTAAGCATCTTCGTGATCTTGGCGAAATTTCAATCAGTAGACAAGTGATTGTACTTTCACCAATATAGTATCAACAAGAAGGTTGCTTTGAAAGCACTAATCTTATTATCTTAGCATTATTAGGCAAAATGTAGATAAGTGTAAAAAAAACGTCAAATTATTCCACATTTAACCAGAAAAACACCAGATTGTGAGCCCACCACCCCATAAGGGATTTTAGTAGGATAATTTGATTTTGAAATTTTTACGACGATATATAAACAAAACCTTGGTGAACCTAAAACTTAATGTGTTCCGACACAATGTCAAACAAAAGCCTTTCCTAAAGAGTTAAAACACACATATTCGTACAAACCCTACACCTGGCCACTTATGGGAACATTTTTAGTACCCAACTTCGAATATGACGAGTGAAACAAGCACTACAAATTAGGGCGGTCTTTTTACACAAAAAATGAAACCTTTTTTGTACGTAGCGAATTTAAGAGTTTTTATCTTGACCAAAATAAAAGTTTCAGATTTCACTAATGAGAGAGCGCAGTTTGTCCATTGGTCTGTGTATGGCGGGAGATCTACCTCTAAACCATAGAAACAGTTTGGATTATGTTGAACCAGATTATATCGTTACTTTCAAGTCCGGATCAGATGGTAGCCATAGTTAATTGACCTAATGCTTACTTTTATCACAATTAAGGAATATATATATATATATATATATAACAACTGTAGTTTCTAGTTATGCACAAAGCTACACAATGGTCTATCTGTGCTCTGCCCAACACGAGTATTGAAACTTGGTTTCTAGCGTTGTAAGTCCGCAGACATACGGTTGTGCCACTGGGGGGCATATACAAAAAGAGAAGCAACGAACTTTTGAAAAAAAAGGCCTTTTAGGATTTTTGTGTGGTCGTTCGACAATCTCTTGGTCACACCCTAGAGTATCTATAACATTTAGTATGACTATCCTATAGAAATATCATACATTCCAATATATCTCATAATGTTATTACAACAGCGATTAACAAATGAAAGTTTCAATTGGCTGCTGTACCCGATCTTGTGATCAAAACTCCATTTCGCTCCGTTTTTAGCAAAAATAACAAAACAATCCGAATTGGTGAAAGTTTCTCAAGCTGGAAAGGAAGGAGAGATAAAATAATTGTCTTTTGTTTGTAATAAAGCACAAAGCTACACAATGGGCTATCTGTGCTCTGCCCACCACGGGTATCGAAACCCGACTTCTAGCGTTGTAAGTCCGCAGACATTCCGCTGTGCCACTGGAGGGCATAATTGTCTTTATGAGTGAGAGTTAAACAGTCATGTGTGAAACATTGCTACAAATAAATAGTTGTCGTGTTCTTAGCATTATATATATAATGCAAGATGTTACATTTATAACTTACTGCATAAAAGAATTTTATCATTTCGCTCAACGTCTACATGAATTTTACTACCATGGGTATTGGGAGCTGAGTAAAATATTACTGACCCTCTGCAGAAAGGTTACGTAACTAACTTCCTAACATTAACATCTGAATAATCCTTTTCTCCCACCGTGTGTCATCTGCAAGTTACGCACTTAAAATGCTAAAATCCGGGGTTCGATTCCCCGCTATGGGCACAGATAGCCGTTTGTGTAGTTTGCACTAAAACAAGCAAACAAACAATGATACTTTTTATAATTTCACTCTGTGGAAATATTACAGAATCCAACAAATCAGATATTTTGAGCACAACCGCTCATACATTGTTTTATTCTTATTGAATAACATAAAAACTGACATTATAGAATAATTTAGCTCTGAATAACACCACTTTTTATATGTTCACCAGTTTCTGTATAGGATCCAAAGGTAAAGTTGAATGTGAATTGAATCTTTATATACTGAATATTAGTAACAAAATAACTCGAGGACGCTATAAATATTCCCCAACCGTTTATAAAGCACTTCAATACCATTATTACTAAAGAATTCATTTAGTTCATTCATTGTATGTTTTATGCCATCTGAATCCTCCTTTATTACAATGCTTTTAGATCACTTAACAACCACGGAGGAAATTATTTCAGATGAAATTAGCAATTCATACTTGATCATTAAAAGCTCACAAGAATGCCTAAAGTACTGTGTTTTTCATTTTACAAATTGTTTGTTTGTTGCCAAACACAAAAATACAAAAAGGGCTATATGTGGTCTGCCCATCGCAGGTATGGAAACCCGATTTTTAGCATTATAAGCACACAGACTTACCACTGAGCCACCAAGGGAGCAATATTTTTTCCAAATAATTAATCACTTTATTCATTTGATTTTAGTACTTTTACTAATAATGACTCAATTTTTTTAAAGTTTTAAAACTAATTCAAGGATACTTTACTGATGGATTAACAGTAAATACAGTAACAGAACTATGCAGTAATATAAAATAATTTTGTTACAATTCCGTAACAGTTCTAGCAGTTTCTAAACAAAATCCTGAAACAAATTAAACGTATTTCTAAGTGTGCCACACACGTTTCAAACATGGTAAATTTAAATGTTTTACTAGGAACCCGAGTTGAAGAATAGACTGTCTTCACTTGAATGTACTGGTGGTTTAGTTTTAATTTGGAATGTTCTAGTGTCAGGCACTACCCAAGTTTAGCCACTTGAACGTGAAACTACTGAACTACCTTTAGATAAGG